AGTGGCGGTGGGCCCGCCCAGAGCCCGCCTCCCTGCCAGAGGCGCTGTGAGAGGGCGGGGGTCACGCCGGGGCCCGGCCTGGCCGGCTCGGCAGGTTCCACTCTGCCCTTGGCCCGCAGCCGGACTCGCCTCAGGCAGCCCGGACCGGAGGCTCCTGCCGAGCTGCCCGCGCTGAGCCGGGCAGGCCCGGCGCTCCTCCGAGAGCCCCTGGGCTGCCGGGTGAAGCCTCGTGCTCCTGCCAACAGCGACCAGCTGGGCCTGCTGGGGAGCCCTGCTGTTGTGCTGCCACCTGACCCGGGGCGATGTGCGGTGGTTTGGTGGTTTGGGTGTGTTTTCTTACCAGGCTTGGGAGCAGACTTTTCTTTAGAGCAGACTCTCATGATAGAATTAACCTTACTGCACCTGTGGAACTGAGATCCCGTGTAGGAACCTTAGCACCTGTGAGGCACAAGGGAATGGTAGTTGATGATGATGAATATTTGATGCAGCTTAGTATTTCTTATGCAGTCGCTGTGTAGAGCAAAATGGCTTATGTTGTTCAATTACTTGAACAACAAGTACAAGTAGTACAACTACAATTAAAAAAAATGACTATTTTTTTTTTCTTTTGGTGTTTTTTGGTTGATTATTTTATCCTGCAATGCTTACTGCCAATTTACTTTCCTTGGAGATATTTTTATAACATTAAAGGAAAAAGAATGTAAATAGTCTTTTTTAGAGAATGGACTTGGTTGTCATATGTTCATTGTTTCAGTGTATGCTGAACTGTGCTTCAGACTGTCTACAGAAACACCTTTTTATTGGAGGTAGTAACATATTTCTTGGGTTACGGGAAGAATAAACTGACTAGAAAGTAGACATGCAGCCTTTGTGTTGTCCACCCAATAGCTGCTCCCTGTCCTTTTGCTGTATTGGAAAGTTCTGAGTAGTCTATTGTTACACCTGAACTCATACCGCAGTGAATGGGTAGTGGCATACAAGAAAATCAAGTTTGAATTTTTCTGGCCCGGTAACTTCTGGCAGGTATGGCTTTCCAGGAGCTTCTCTTGGCTTTCAAGGAACTTCTCTTGACTTACAGTGGTGGTGTTGTCATGAGCAAGATTTGGTTCTTTTGATTTCACTTGTTTGTCTTGCTAGAGTAACACTTTACATATTGCTTTGTACGGTCTGCAGATCTTTGAGGATTGTGTAATAGATAAGAACCAGTCAGGTCATTTTAGGAAATCCCTGATATATGCTGCAAAATGCTGAGAATTTAAGAAGGGAGAAAAAAAAAGTTGAAGACTTGCCACAGTTGCATTTGTGGTCAGGCTATAAATACCACAATATGCAGGCTAACACAATGGGATCTTTATGGTAGCTGTTCTCACTTCTCTTTTCCACATTAATTGCTTATTTTCCTTTCAGTTTTACTGCATTAGCAAAAGATTTACTTGGATATGAAGTAGAAGCAAACTTTCTTAAATGAAAATGCATTTTCTGCAAGGCCATTTTCTGCAGGATTTGTTTGTCATTTCTTATCCCTCTAAACATGCAGACCTAATTGTTATCTGGTGCCTCAAAGACAACTTTAATAGATACGGATGCTGCCTCTATTGCTAGATAATCTTTCTAAAAGCTTCAGAGAGATAAATATGCTAAATATGCATAAAGATGGTTTCAACTATGCAGTTGTGTCACCTGGAAGGCAGCTCAGATAGCTTTGCAAGTTATTTTCAAAGTGATGAAACCCCTTTTGTAGTATCTGAGAGCTGAATTAGGAGACAGGTAGTGTGTTTCTTGGCCAGAACATGTTACTCAGGAGAATGCAACAGCACACTGGAAAAGCATTCTGTCAAAAGTATCCCTTCTTCTTGTTCAAGTTTCAGTTATCAAAAGGTATTTGTGATGGTGGTTTTTTGGGTTTGGTTTCCTTTTTTTAAATGGGTTTCCACGCCACAGCTTATTTGTCATTTGTATACAAGTTCTGTAAGTTGATCAAGGTTTGATGGAAAAGGGGAGATGGGGGGAAGGAGGTTAAGTCTTTCATTAGGTTACCATTCTCTTTCTGGGGCTCTGTGCTCTTGCATAAACTGTTCGTAATGAGAAGGATCCATTTCCATTAAAATCTCTAGTGGGCAAGACAAATTTTTACACCAGAGAAGGCCATGGAGTATGCAAAATTTATGTTTAGTCTGAAGGGCTACTTGTAATAACATGCCAAATTGTGTATATCAAAAATTTCCTATCTACTTAGATGCATATTCTTAGTGTCTTGTGTCTGGCAAAAAAGATCAGTCTACTTGCAGTGGTAAAGCAAGCTGACTTTCCTGAGACACCAAGCAATTATATTATAGGGCAGCTCACCTTTATGCTAATAATGTGTCGTATAACTAAAGTTTTAATTAGCAGATAAAAATAATCTGCATCTTGATTATCATATGGCTATGAAAACTGCTGGTAACTTTATGTTTCATATGGTTTAATGCTAACTGTTTTGTTAGCCAACATTATTCATGTGCAGAGGGTCAGGCATGTTTATGGTCAATTTTCATTACAAAGGCTGCTTTCTACTTGAGTAGGCTTAAGTCTAAAATAAATTGACATTTTGGCCCTAATAATTGTCTCAAGTGTAAATCTATGCCCCAGACAGTACATTACCTCACAGTGTCTGTAGATTGCCTTAGAAAAAGGATACATTTGCTATCTTGCTAGTAAGATTGGTGCGTGGCAAACAACTGATATAAAATGTGGCACTGTTTAGAAGTTACAGATGTAGTTACACTTTTTTATAGGAGCTACATGTGTCTGAGAATCTGATGGCAGGACTTTGTACTATAGTAGAAAATTATATTCTTACAGTTTTCTAACTGCAGAATACTTGGTGCTTACCTAAAGCAGCATCCTCAAAAATGTATCACTTGTCAAAATGGCATATGCAGTATCATCCTTGTCAGGTTGTGGAATAAAAATGCAAAGTTTGAACTGTTCATGCTTCTGTTAAGTAGGAAGCTCTCACTTGCACAGTTGTCACTTCCTTTTTTTTCAAGTCTGAGGAGTGAAAATGCCACTCTCTATAGCATTTTATTATAATTCAGTAGCACAAGGGCTTTTCTTCCTGTAACTGAAACATTACAACCTTTGTCAACGTCATGTGCTGAATTGTTGACATCTCTTCAGGATTGTGTTGGTACTTTCTATTGAAACTCTCTTCATCCCCTTTATATGGCAGTTATATTCCCATTAGAGCAGGGTTTTGTATGTGTGTGCTTTTCTTTGTTAATTTGTGTTCGTTGTTTTGTTTTGGCTTTTTTTTAGGGATGGTAATAATTAAATTCAGGTGGCTTGGTCAAGTAACCAGGGATTTCTTGTAAAGATGTGCTGGTGATACCAAAAATGCATAGAATCTTTTTGTGTAATGTTGCTTTCTATGTAATCTTTGGGGAATCTGGAATTAATAACAACTTGATGATAAAAAAAGTCTCAAATGATACCCTCCA